TTATCTAATTAACGATATATGTTTAATTTTTTTATATGATATCGAAGATTGATCATACAATAGATGGTTTAACATGCCAAAAATATTATATGCTAAGTGAATATAATATGATCAAGTATTACAAGTACATCATTTAATAAAATAAATAATCAACAACCGGAAAATCATACCCGCGCTGGCGCGCGGGTCAAGGTCTAGTATAACTTAAATTGCAAGTTCTCAAAACAACGTTCATCAACAAAAACATGAAGTCTCTGTCCCCTAAAAATAAATTACAAAAATAAGTTATTAATACTAAATCATATATTTAGTACAAATCAGTGTTTTTTTTTTAAGTTTTGTATATATTAATCAAACTTATTATAATAATATATATACTAACATAGAATCAGATATTATGATATAATATTAAAACATATACTAATATAGACTTGCATCATAGATAATTTCTTGTATCACACTTATATATTATTATGATATAATCTAGAGTACGATAAATATCACATACATAGTCTTGATTAGAATTGTGTTTTACTAGTCAAAATTATAAGTTTGAGTAAATTAATTATATATCTAACTATAAAATTTGAATTAATAATATAGTGTTAATACTAAAATTAATAAATTAATGAATCAACTAAAATTACTTAAAACATGACATCTAAGCAAAATAACTTAGAATTATAAAAAGTATCATTTTATAGAAGTACAAAGTTTGAATTAATAATAGTATTGAAATTAATCAACTAATAAATCAGCTAATAATTATTTAAAATATGACACATAAACAAAATAAGCTAAACATGGAACAAATGATAAGTCAGCAAAATCACTTATCAAATAATAGTAAATCAATAATATAGAGATGACAAACCTTTAAAAAAAAAGTATTCTTGTTTTTTTTTTTATCTAAACCGCAAAATGTCATTGAATTTAAGAACTCAAAGATCATGTACAATAAAAAAGTTGGTAGAGTTCTGTTTAATAGCGGAAACATTCTGGGTTTTCAGAGAAACCCATACATACACACATATATATATATAAACCTGTGAAAATTTTAACAATTTTTCTATCATCAAAATTCATATTATCAACACTTACACTTAAATGTTTTTTGCTCTTTCTTGGAGTCATAGTGCCCAACATTGGACAACTTATGGGATCAGGAAAAAGGTTTGTCGAGTTTGCGGTAAGAGAATCTGTTACTTGGAATCTTTCAATCCAAGCCCACTGGTTTTGTCGAGCTGAGAGTAAATAAAGAAACAGGCAATTTGAAATATCAATTCGTTAGGGTGAGCGCAAAAGTCTAGTTGAAGACGAAAAATATTACGAGCTTACAATTGAAGAGCTTATCTCCACTGTTGAAAAACTGTTTCTGCAGAGAAATCTCCATTTTGATTTCTTGGCAAAAATACTTCAACACTCTTTTGTATTGTAGTAGGAGCACTATAAGGTTCTTGTAGATAAGATGCTATAACGAGTAGCACACACCAACAATTTTTTCTTATAATTTCTAGTGAAATCTATATATTAATGGGCTGTTCATGACCTAAATTGGCCCAATTATAATTGTCCCGAATAATTGTTTGGCCATAATTTGATTTTATCCAGAAAAACTTAGACCGTATAGGGGGTTTTTAATTTTTTTTTAATATTTCTTTTTATGTTTTTATGATTAAAAAAAATTAAAAACGCACCAAGCACGGACTGCCATGTGTCGTGAGGCCCGCGAAACAGTTTAAAACACGTATCTTATTCCACAGAAGGAGGCTACGTTAGTTCCTCTTTTGTGGACCCCATCCCACTTTTTCCCCTAAAACCGATGCTTGGAGACAGCGTTGAGGCTGCTCTTAGTTTTATCAATTCCCATACGGATTGTGTATAGCTCGCTTCGGACCAAACATTTCGAGTTTGACCTCTTCGGCCCCATTCGAATATTATTTTAGTACGGGGTGGGTCAATAACATACCAAAATTCATGTATACTCGTACTTATTTTGGATTTGATTGGGTTATTTCTGTTTGGGTTTAGGTCTTTTTAAATAGCATATCAAATAAATATGGAACTGAATATGGAAGTATTTATTTAAATTTAATTTTTTAAGATATTATATCAAAATAAATGTAATTAAATATTTGAAATTTATTAAAAACTCATTTGGAATACTAAGTAGATCAGGTTTTTGGGTTCTAAATTGCAGAGAAGACAAAGATAGGTTGTAGAAAAAAACAACGGATCCTGAGTTTCGTCATAGGTGAACAACTGGATCTAATGTTGCAGAAGAAGACAACCATATAGAGAGGAAATTGTGAAGTGGAGGTTGAAACACAAGATGAAAAAATTATGTTGACAAAAGTGATGTCTAAAAAGAAAGAAAGAGATAAGGTTGAAAGGAGTAATGAAAGGTGAGAGATTAGACGGAAAATGAAAATAAATATTAGGTTTAATGGTTCTCAAGATATTTTACATATATTTGATGGGCAAATTGGACAAATTACGATTAAAATGTGTCACACAGATTTAATGTATCTTTTTGTGTAATTAGAAACACAAAATGTGTCATCCAATGTAAATTTTTCTAAACTATTTCAGATTCTGATACATTTTATGATAAAATTATTATGGTAAACATAATGATAATACTATTTATTCTGGCTATTCAAATAACTTGGTAAGTGAAAATTATATTATCTAGTAAAGTGTAAGAAGACCATTGGGTGGCCCCTTTCGAAATAACATATACGATGCTTTGTTACCAGATCTTCTAACAAAAACATGAGTAGGAGTGTGCAGTTTGTCATTCATATGCTAACTAGGTGATTTTCCCGTGCTCATGCACGGACATGTATATTTATAAAATAAATATACAATAATAATTAATTGATATTTACTTTATTTTAAAATTAATTTATAGTTTGTATGTTTAATTTATATTATAATATTATATTACTTTAACTATATAAATAATTTTAGATATGTTATATTTAGTCTGTTTTATTGTTTTTACGGTCGATTTAGTTATCATTTAAATATATTGGATTCTATCTATTTCTCTGAATTCAACTATAATCTTTTATATTTTAAATATATTAAATTTTTGATTAATTGTCTTATTTGCATTTATGCTGGTTGTTATTTTAGAAATATAATTATATTTAGTAAGATTATATATACTTAAGATTTTTTTGTGCTTAGAAGGAAAAATAAATAAAAACTAAAGTGTCTGATTCTAAATTACATACATAAGTAACTAATGATTTTTTAGAAGCTTTTGAACTAATATCAATATTTACAATAATTAAAATATTTTATAAATTCTAAATAAATTTATGCTTTAGATATATTGGATGGTAAACTGAAATTTATTTTAAATAATTTTGAAAATAAGGATTCTGATTTGCTTAAGTATTTTGACTATGGTTATATTAAGTTTCACAAACATAAAAACAGAAAATTAATAATAAAAATATTTATTAAGAAAACATAATTAACTATTAAAATATAATATATCTACCTCGTTAAATTATATAGTGTTATGGTATTTTAAAATAATTGTAGTTATTTTTTGTTTTTATGTTTGTGAAACTTAATATAACCATAATCAATATACTTAAGTAAATGAGAATCCTTATTCTTAAAACAGATAATTTTAACTATTAAAATATAATATATCTACCTCGTTAAATTATATAGTGTTATGATATTTTAAAATAATTGTAGTTACTTGATCAAAAGATGTTTATTATTAAATTTATTTTTAGTTTTATTTTTAGCATCTCTTAAAATATTCAGTAAAAAGTTATTGTTTTTGAGAAATTATACTATATAAGTAAAATAAAATTTATTTTTTTACTGTAATTGTAAGATATTATAGTCAAACAAATTTACTAAGAAAATAATTTCAATAATACTAATTATAAAAAATATCAATTAAACATATATCAGTTTATTTTAGTTGATTATGTTATGTAATCGTCTAATAAAATAGATAGATATATAGAAAAATAATTATTTTGAAAATAAATAAATATTATTGTTTAATATTATATTTTTTAAAGAAAAAATATTTATTTTTCTAATAGTAATATTTTTTTTGTGTGATTTTTTTTTATGAAATCACACTATTACTTCAAAGGTATATTTTCTGTTATTTAAAATATATTTAAATTAAATATTACTACTTTGTGAACTTTCTTTTTTTTCATTAAACCATATTATATATACTTATATTTTCGTTTTTAAATAGTTTTGTAAATTTTATAAATGTTTCCTTTTTATTTTAAATTGTTATTTGGAAATTTTTAAAAAGGAAATAATATTTAGTTGTATTTTAATTCATTAGGGGTATCATAGTAATCAACCAACGTGAGAGTTAACGTGAGCGCGACACCTAAGAAAGTGACTTCTCAAATAATATTATAGAGATATCATTTAGAAGATTATGGAGTGTCATATTCATGTGTAACATTTATGGTATTAATCAAAACTTTTGAACCTCTTTCGAAAACGATTTGAGATAATCATGCACTCCAAACATTTTGCTTTACTATACTAATCTACTTCAAAACTTGGTCCAGAGTTACCTGCTCAACCTGATCCCCACATTTATTATAAGCCTTGACTTCATGTGATTTCCAATTCGCGTCATATTCCAAAACGGTAAGTGTTATTGATGAATGTCCGTATAGATTAACCAAATTAAGTAGATATTTTTTCTACACTATAATTTTTGTTTAAATAATGATTACGGAGTTTTGATAGTTTATGTTATGGTGAATTTATGCAAGTGATTTGTGCTCAGCTTTACGGAATTATAGGAAGAAGGAGATAACTCGCCGTGTTGAGTTCTCCTGTTTTAGTCGTTGATAAACTAGAAAATTCTGTCTCTAGACTACTGTCATATGGGTATGGACCAGAATAGCAAACGATTCTGTTCTTTCATCATCGCTAATAAAAACAAAAAAAAATGTGGTGCCGAATAATATAAGTAAACCTCTCGTTTGTATCTGGTGGGTCGAAACCCAGGTTTGTCTACATTTGGTGGTTGGAAGCACACTTGTTGAATGATAAACCGTAACACCTTTGAATAAGGCTCTTAGCTTTTGGATTTGTCCCAATTCTTCAACAAACAAAATTTTGGTTATAACTTATAACTGAAGTCCACACGTTTTATCTTTACAATTAGCTCTCTAAAATTACGTTTGTTTATTTAGTTACCTTTGTTATCCAACGAAAACAACCAAGTCATTATTAAGGACGACACAGTTATAGTTATAACTTATAACCGAAACCCAAACTTTTTGCTTTTATAATTAATCCCATAACGGAGGATTAGTTCGTTAGGTTAATTAAATTTGTTATAATGTGTAAATTAGATCATTATGGTTACTTCTCATTTTTTCATATTATATATTGATCTCTAATCGTTACTTCTAATTTTTTTTCTGGGGAGACAGATACGATAATGGATCAGGGAACGAAACCAGGCTATGAACCAGATCGGATTCCACCGTCGGTTTTCGCAACCACAATGGCTGCTAAACAAGAATGGAGTACTCAATCTAACGATTTGTTTAGTATTCACATGGGAGATCAAAGTTTCACTAAAATGTATAAATCTGGAGAACTCTCCAATTTCGATTATACTGCTTCGTATATTAACAATAACAACAACATTGATAACAAAACTAATTTGACGGACGCTGGAACCAAAGAGGTGAACGTCCTCGAAGCGGAAACCAAATCAGAAACCGTTAATCGAGAGGGCCTAACCAATGTATCTAAACTTGATCAACCTCCACAACGTCAGTTAAGTCCGACCAAGTCTTATCACTCTGACACCAGTAATAACAGCGCAGCTTCTTTTGCATTTCCCATGTAAGTCGTTGTCCAATCTTCAGAATGGGTTTACATAGTCAAGACCAGATTGGTTGGACCAAACCGGTTTTGAATTTGTTGTGATTTATTAATATAAGCTCTAATATTGGTTTTAGTTTTGTTTTCAAATTCATTATGTTTCTGTAGATTACCAGAGTCCCAACAAGATCCAAAGACGGCACTTACGGTGAAGGATGAAAGTGGTGAAACGGATATATCAAGACCAGACCCTTACTCGGATGATCCCAAACAAGGGAACGATGGTGGCTGGCTTTCTTGTTTTTCATGTTTCTCGGTGAAAAGTTGAGATTAGTTCTCTTCGTCAGCCTATTTATTTAGGTCGTAGTTGTCCAAGTGACACGAGACACTAGACAAGATAGATTACTGATTTGATCTTATATCACACTATTTAGACATGTACTATGTAATTGTAATGTTTGGACTCTGGATGGTAGCAAAAAAAAGAGTGTTGTTTGTTTTGCTAGACATGTTTACTAGCACCTTTTATTATAGATTTGCGACATAAAACTGTCACACTAGTCCAAATCACTACTGTATTGCTGTATGTTATTGTCAAATGTTACCTTTATTTGATTAAACTTATATTTTCTGTAAATAAAAAAAATCTTACATTATTTAATGTCAAGATTAGTTTACAAAAGAGGAAATTAGAATTTACCTCCAAGAAAATTAAATCTCATAACATGTATGAAAAAAGTCAGAAACTCACGATTTACAACTTGTGGGAAATTGGTAATCTCTCAAACAGGAACGTTGCAGACTGAACCAAGAAAAGAAGCATCTTCCCTCCGACAAGACTTCTTCTTCAAACCTGGTTCTGAAGGAATTTTACCACCGATACCGACTTTTATCACTTCGATTTACTCATTAGGCTAACTGTCTTCACTTTACTTTTGAGTATGTACCAAATCTCGTCTATCATAGTAAAACAAGATTTATTTATTCACATTTTATGAATTCATATACGTACTAATTTAACACAGATAATCTAGAGGTAAACCAGGAAAGAGTAAAAGTCACAAATTAAAACCAGACATAAGATTAATTTTTTTAAGGCTTTCTATTTAAAAATATAATTCAAAGTACAATACAATTACAAAGCTGTGATATGTGGATCATACAGCTTTTTTTTTGGTTAACTAGAATGAGTTTAGCTTTGGGTCTTGGATCCTAATCTCGTCTATGGTCCGGAACCAGACTTTGTTGATACCATTTATGGTGTAAAGTATTATTTCCACCGAGTTTCGAACCAGGACACTGAATGTTATGGGTGGGATCCAAAGTCATTGCTACATTTTCTTCATAAGGGTTGTCATCATTCTGCATCGGAGTCTAGCTTTAAAGTACATCATTATGAAACCTCCCCCATGAAACAGTAAACCAACGGAAGATCGATTGCACAATAAAGCTGAACTATATATATCATCAGCGGTCATAGATATAGACTCGTAAATTTGTTGTTTGTGTATTGTTTAGATATATTGACCCAAACTGTTCTTGGAGCCAAATAAGTATGTTGGTAATTTAAAATGTAAGTATAAAACCATTTAATGTTTGTTAGCTGTACTATTTTAAATCACCACTAGTTGTTTGTCCGTAATTTTACAAGTATAAACATTCTATATATATAATGTTTACAATGTTATAAATTTTGAACAATAATTAAAAATGTTACAAAATAATTTTTAACTTCAAATGATCTGATAATTAAAAGTCTCAGTACTAAATCCTTACGAGGTATGATATTTAAGAATAGTTCAACGACATTGATCTAAGGTCATTTTTAGTGACAAGAAACTGTGTTGATTTTCAGTAATATTATTTTAACAGTTAAAAGATATTTTCCAATGAAAAATTGACAAGTGTAAGAAATATTTCTGGTGAAGACACTTTCGTCTCTTTTCGGACAATCGTTCACATTCTCTCTCTTTCTTGTAAAAACTTTTTTCTTATTTTTTATTATTATTTTAATTTAAGAATTGGGTGGAGATATCTCTACTACGCATGGCTAAAAACATCATTGATTCATTCCTTGGTAGAAACCTTAAAATAATTAATATTAATATAATTTAAATAAAATATATAGCCAATCATAATGTAACAGTTAGGAACATGGATATCAAAAGAACATTCTTTATAAAAGGATGACTCTATTTTTTTAAGATCTCTCTCTCTTGTTTTTCTACTTTTTATTAACTGAAACAAAATTGAGGGAATAAAACACCATGCATGTGCTCTAAGGACAACCCAACTGAATGTAATTTATTTATTTAATCAGGTGTAAGAAGTTTAAGCAAATAACAAAGAGTATGTGAAATTGTTACAAAGTTCTTAGACGGTCGGTTCAGAGATATGATATGTACTCTCTCCTCATATTTGATTATTTTTAATACAATAATGATGAGAATATTTGTTTCAAAGTTCGAAGACCATCATTAACTTTGGTCTCTTAGTTAGTGTTATTTAGATTCGTCTAAAAGACGGTTCTTAGTTTTTTTAGATTTTAATTAAGAAAATCTGAAATCCATCTTTTAAATAAGAGATATAAAAATGTCTCTTAGCCAAAAAGTTTAAAAATAAAAACTAAAACAAAAAATCATGAGTCAAAAATTCTGGCTAAAAACCGGGGTTAATAATGCCCTAAATCAATAAAGATCTTTCTCATACATTAAAGGAATATTATAATTGGTTTAGGTAACTAGTTGATAACTAAATCTTATTTTATTTTAACACGTGAACATAAAAATATCATAGCCATCAAAAGAACGTTTATGTAGCACCAAATGATCAAAGGCTTCTATAGCACCGGGATCTGCTTTGTTTTACTTATGTTTCTTTTATTTGTTTGGTTGTTTTCAATTTCTTTTAAATCTAATAAACTTCATGCTTTTTTATGTATTTCTTTCAATGGATATGGGAAAAAATTTAGATATTTGTAATTTGTTTAAGATAAATAAAATATTTTAGTCTAAAAATTGACGATAGGCGATTGTAGGATTATTTTTTAGTTTAATAATGATAAAATAAATCAAAAGCTAAAATTATCAACCAATATTGTATCAGTTAGTTCAGATTCAACCTATCAATGTATACATGAAACCGAAATTACTTAAATAATTTCTCTTTATAATATATAATTAAAATGTGATATAATTTTGTATGATTTATAATTCCTTATAAATATACATTTATACAATCATAAATAGTTTTTTAAATAAATTTCAGAAGTTTTTGTGGTTCAGTTTGTGTACAACTCTTTGATTACATGACTTAATGGTATAAAAAGTTATTTTTACTATAGATATTATTAAGATACTCAAATCTAAAAATTGAACATAACTGGCCCTAGAATTAATAAAAATAAATAAATTTAAATTCATATCTAAATTATAATAAATCTGAATATTTTACCTATAAGTGTATATTTAACCAAAAGTTTCTTAAATGGTTTATGTTTTAATATATAATTAGTGGTCGAGACGCGCTACGCGTGGGATGTATTTCTTTTAGATTTTTTTTATTAAGAATCTATTTTATCAAATGTAAGCTTTAATATGCTAACCTAACTGTAAAAGTTGGTTTACAATTAATGTTGTAGTTGTTTACTTGTGGAACTACCTCTACATCCACCAGTAGGTTATTGGTGTACCTGGCGTTCCTCAAACCCCAAATCTCACCCTTTAATAACTTTCCACAAGACAAGTTGTCACCAATTGATCTGAGTATTTTGATGAAAATAATATGTGAAAGTTAAGACGATAATGTATTATTTAGTGTTAAAGAAAGCAAACGGTGTGGCTTAAAAGCCTAAAAGGTCATAGTCTTGTGGATATTGTTGTTTTGACTTTTGAATCACTTTGTTAAGGATTAGTGATGATCGCATTAAGTTACGAATTAGTTAACCGGAGAGATGATATCTCCTAGAATTTCTTTAAGGAGGTCTTTGATATTAGAGAATGACTGATTTTTATTTATTTTGAAAGAAGTTGTTGGATTGTAGTGGAAGTCTAGCCTTTTATATCTGTGTAAATGACACAAAATGTTCTGATGAGTTATGTGTGAGTTAATGAAATAATTTATTGAGAATGGTAATTTAGTGGTAACATTGTAGGCTAACATAGGTGGACTTAGTTAATACATCAAACATTTACTACAAATCTGAGTAAATTTTGCTCGTAATAGTTAAATTTGAAATTTGAACATATTTTTGTTTGTGTTTGTCAATGGTTTTGTACTGCCGTGGTGCTTTGGTTTGAAAAAGTCAAACATACCATTATCTTGGATTTCTGATTTATAGGATTGGTTTTTGATTTATATATATTATAAATATATTAGCATAATCAAATTTATTAATTATATTTTAATTTTAAAATATGTTATATTTTTTAGTTTATGATGTACGTTTGTGTAATGTTAAATTTCTTCACACAAGTAAATCTTAAAAGATCATTACTAACATTTTATAGTTATTTAAAAGAAAATTTTGAAACTTGAATATATTTTTGTTTGTGTTTGTGTTTGTTTTTAGTTTTGTATTATCGCAGTGATTTGTCTTTGAGAAAGTGAAACAAATTCTTGCTGTGGAATAAGTTTTTGATTTATATATATTATAATATGTTAGCAAATCATTAATTAAGTTTTATTTTTAATATTATGCTGTATTTTTTTAGTTTATGATGTAAGTTTGTATATTATTCAGTTTTTCACACATTAACTTAAAAGATTATTAATAGCATTTTATAGTTTTTTAAAACAATTTTTATATATTTAAATATCAGAATTATTAAAATAAGATAATATATATGAAGATGATACGGTGTTTATTATTGAGTTTATCTATCTTTATAATTATAAAATAATAAAAATATAAATATATCAATAAAACTAATTTTTTTTTATTTTTTTACTTAATAAAAAATGTGAATGAAATTTTTTTTTATGATAATAAGACTTATAACTAGTTTGTGTTAAAGGCATGATTTATTATAAAATATTTATCAAAAATTTAATATAGTGTTAATAAAATTAGTCTAAATGATAGAATAACAAGTGTCATATTTTATCCTACGGAGAGAAAAGACTCTACTATATTATATAAGATAAGAAATGTGCAATACTTCTGTAGGATTTATAAATCCTTATATATGCATTTATACATATATAATTAAAATTAGATTTAAAATCATTTATGTAAGGTTTTATAAAATTTCATAAGTCCGATAAATAATATCAACATTTACAAAATATTTAATAAAGGTTTTACAAATAATTTAGAAACTCTAATAA